ATAATGTCATCTTATGATCTGATCATGCAACTGCCTGTCTGTTTGTGTTCATTTGTGTGTTAGCAAAAAATGTCACGAACCACTGTGAAATTTTTAACGCAACTCCGAAAGTAATGATCGGATGTTCAGCTCGGTTCAAAATGGCCAACAGCTCGTAAACACAAAAAACAGCAAGAACTCAGTTGATTTTACAGACATTGAGCTAAAATCTGGCGTGGCAGTAGCTGAGAGTCATCTGCACCACATACTCTGAATACTAACTGATCACACAAAATGTTTGTTTGTAACGGTGGTAGAAGATGTGGCACCATGTTTTATTTGTTTATACTTTTATGTAAAGCTTTTTTTGAAAGTTGACCAACTTGTGTGTGTTKTGTTTTTGTGTGGAGCACGTGTTCCACCTGGAGCAGGAGGAGTACKTGCGGGAGGGACTGGCCTGGAACAGGATCGAATTCAGCAACAACCAGCAGTGCATCAACCTAATTGAGGGACAGCTGGGAATATTTGATCTGTTAGACGAGGAGTGCAGGGTCGGTCTCTTGCTCCTCTTTTATTGATTGTTCCCTGCTTCTTTTGTGTCTCTTTTTTTTTTCAAACTTCAGCTCGGTGTGTTTTAAGAAAAGCTGCCAATCTTTGTTATGTGTTTCCGTTTTTGTGGGATTGATTCAGATGCCAAAAGGTTCGGATGAAAGCTGGGTCTTAAAACTGTACGACCAGCACCTGAGCAGTAAGGCCCACCCTCACTTCAGGAAACCCCGCATGTCCAACAGCGCCTTCATCATTCTGCACTTTGCTGACACGGTGACTAACCYGGTTCAATCCAAAAGAGAGCAACTTGTAATTCTCCCCAGTGTGTAACTATGTTCTGTCTCCTGGACCAGGTGCAGTATGAATGCTCGGGCTTTCTAGACAAAAATCGAGACACCGTCTTTGAGGAGCTCATTAACATTCTCAAAGCAAGTCAGGTAGATATCTGCTAAATATAGAATTCATTTAGCTATAATTCCTGAGTGCGAAACACTAAAGCGTGTGTTTGTGTGTCAGTCTGAGCTGGTGGCTGAGTTGATCCAGCTGCAGGGAGACGTACCCTCTGCGGCCAATGGGAGCGTCCGTTCAGGGAAACGAGCAACTAGAGAACATAAACTCACTGTAGGCTTTCAGGTGAGACTCGATCTTTTCCTTTCCACAAGATTTCGTTTTGTCTGGTTTCACCACGCCGCTGCTGCTTTGTCTCGTCAGTTCCGTCAGTCTTTACAGAAGTTAATGGACACTCTTAACAGCACCACGCCTCACTACGTCCGCTGTATTAAACCCAATGAYCTGAAAGAACCTTTCCTGTGAGTCTCTAACCCGTGTGCTCTCTCAGTAAAGTGTATCCTACTGGGTAACACTTAAATATGTCTGATCACATCACATCCCYGTCAGGTTTGACCCCAGGAGGACCGTACAGCAGCTGAGAGCCTGTGGAGTTCTGGAGACCATCCGGATCAGTGCAGCAGGTTATCCATCAAGGTATTTAAACATTCTTCTTATGTGGCGCAAACTGTCAAATGAAATGGTAAAAATGTGTTACACAATTCATTATTTAGCTCACTTTGAGTGTAAAATCATGCTAAAAAATTAGCACTAAAATTCTATTGCTTTTTAGCTCARCTGTTCTTACATTTTACAAAAATGTTACATTCAAGTGTTAATTATGTAAATGTTAAAATCTAAATCTTAAATGTTGATGTTTAAGTATTTCAGAATGAAACGCAGTCTTTGCTGTTGGTGCTCGGCTCTTCTTGTTATGATGTTAGCATCCGGAGACAAGTTTGATGAAGGGAAGTGTTAGCAGCGTTAGCAGCGTTAGCAGCGTTAGCGGTTGCGTTGTCTCAGGAAAATGACATCATAATGAGAGCCGAGTGCCAACAGCAAAGGCTGTGTTCCATTTCAAAGTACTTAAATTTAAACGTCAACATTTAACCACAACATTGAAGATTTAACTTTTACGTTTAGATATATGATTTAATATTTTCTAATAAACTTTACAATTTCATTTTAGCACTTAGTAAAAATTAGTAAAATGTTAGAACAGTGAGCTAAATAACAATAAAACGTTAGTGGATGGTTTTCACTTGGATTTAACACTCAGAAATTGAGCTAAATAATGAAAATGTGTTTGACATTTTTTAACATTTTATTTTACACTTTGCACCTCATATCTTCTTATTACAACTTCTTATCTACATGTTAGTAGAACAGATAAAAGATCTAAAGTTAAATGAGGGAGACAATTTGAATTGAAAAGTTTTAATTTTTATTAAATATAAAATAAAATCAAGCTGTTCTTTGTCCTAAAACCTATGTGGTGAATCTGTGTATCCAGATGGACGTATGAGGAGTTCTTCAGCAGGTACCAGATTCTGCTTCGGGGCCCTCAGAACCAGGACCAGGCCCAGGCTTTGTGCAGACAGGACCTGCCTCAGCTAATTCCGGACCCTGACCAGTACTGCTTYGGAAAGACCAAAGTGTTTTTCCGAGCAGGTCAGGTTGCTCTTCTGGAGAGGCTGAGATCTGAGCGTCTGCGAGCAGCTGCTGTCATCATCCAGAGTCGGGTCAGAGGATGGCTGGATCGGGTCAGGTACTGCAGGATCTGCTGGGCCGCCATGACCATCCAGAGGTACAGCAGGGGAACTCGGGCCCGACGGTGAGGATCAACGTTTGTCTGTCTCTGTGTGGAGCCATTATACGGCTGCTATGTTTTGTACAACATAAATAAATCAGAATATGATGATTTGCAAATTCTTTTCAACAAATATTTAATTGAATTCATTACAAAGACATATAATGTTTGGATGGATAAACTTATCATTTTCTCAGATTACAAACTTGGTAAACATTTTGTGTTGTTTCTTGTGCGTGGCTGTAGTTTGGCTCTGTCGCTGCGCTACACTAAAGCKGCCTCAGTGATCCAGAAAACCTTCCGTATGGTGGTGGTACGGCAGCTTTTCCTCATGATCCGACAGGCCACCGTCACCATCCAAGCCTTCACCAGGGGACTGCTGGCACGCCGCAGATACCGCCAGGTCAGCAGYTTCTTTCCACAAACTCCCAAGTTCTAACCAGGTGACCTGAGCTGATCTGAGTTTTAAAACTTATTCTGGCTCTTCAGCTGGTGGCGGAGAAGGCTGCTGTGTTGCTCCAAGCGAGGGCACGTGGGTGGCTGGCGAGGCGGGCGTACAGGCGTGTGCGCGCGGCGGTGGTGTTCATGCAGTGCTGCGTTCGCCGCAAGGCCAGCAGGAAGGAGCTTCTGAAGCTGAAGGCCGAGGCTCGCTCGGTGGAGAAGTACAGGGAGCTCAACAAGGGCATGGAGGTGAAACTGATGCAGCTGCAGCTCAGAGTGGATCAGGAGGTGAGTGAGGGGGTCAAAAACTAAAGGAACACAAACATGTTTTGAGTTACAGATAATCAGTGGTGGGCACTGGCTGCCTGATCCGTACCGGAAGCACGATCCGTACTGTCCCGGAAGCATTGCTTTTAGCATGTAGCATTTTGCTAAACTGATGACAGAATTAATTTAATTTCAGTTAAATTCAATTCAAATTCAAAAATATTTTATTGATCCCAGAGGGAAATCAATCTTTCATCACCTGCAATGTTTCATAGAAAAGGCAACGTTTGCAACAGCTGTGGATTTTTATTCCAGCAAAAAAATAAAACAAACATAAGATGAATTATAACACGATTGTCTAGAACAGTGGTTCCCAAACTTTTCAGCTTTTGACCAGCAAATTACCAGCAGCAGAGACTTGTGTCCCCAGCTGTTGTTGGTTGATGAACAACATTTTCACGTCAAATAAACAAGAGCAAAGTAACAATATTTGTTACTCTCGTTTTGTCCATTTTAAGTCCACTAACTTTACTCTTTTGTAACAACAAAGGCAAAAAAAAAATATTGATAGTTGTAATTTTTCAGTGTATTTGATTCAGAAAATCTTTTCAGGACCCCATCTTGATGTTTCGGGACCCCAACTTTGGGAACCACTGGTCTAGAAAATAGCTAGCAGGTTATTATAAATACTGTAAATATGTACGCATCGTAAATCTGTATTTTATTAATCAAAAAGTATACAATGATCCAGCTGTTTGCAGGTGATGTGCTGCACGCACAGCGTGTCCTCGTGAAAACAGTCTTTTAAAACTATGATTAAAAACATCATTCGTTTGCGCAGCAGGTGGAAAGGTTTGTTCTGAGCTGGGGTCTCGTCTCACGCTGCTGCAGCTCTAATAACAACACACAGCGTGGGCGGGTGATTGACAGGAGCGATCTGCTCTGAACGCAGCGTGCACATGTGCAGGACCCCCCAATGCAGGAATAAAAACACAAAAATGTCGTGGATGTCGTGGACGTGGATCCTTTTAGGCAAAGTGAGCATTTCATTTGAACAAGTCTGTCCAGACAGAGAGAAAAACACTGAGCTGCACATTAGTTCTTTATCCAAAAATATGTGTGCGCATTCATTTGTGCGCATGTGTATTTTAGCGTGAGGAGTGCAAAGTGTGGCGTGTGCACGTCCTGAAATTCATGTGTCTCAYGGTCAATGCGTGAGACTTGAGAGCCCTGGTTATATATTTGATCAATTTGTTATCATTACAAATGTACTAAAAGAGGCTTCCAGTTGATTTTTTAAATTCCATCTTCAATGCATTTATCTTTAAAATTTTCAAAAGATGGCATAAGTTGTGTAAAACATTAGTGTGACATTATGTTTTTGTAATATTTGTGTATCGAGGCTCTGCTTGTGTCTAACAGGTAAGGCAGAGTGCTGCTCTGAGAGAGGCCCTCGGCGCAGAACGAGAGGCCGCTGGTGCCGAGCTGGAGGCTCTGAGGGCCGTCATACAGAAACTGGAAAACCAGAAACAGGAGAAGCTTCCTGCTGCTCCAGTTATCAGTGAGAAGGAGGTGGAGGAGAGGAGGAGAGCCGAGGAAAAAGCTGCTCAGGAGATCTCTCGGCTCACGCAGGCAAGGGTTCCTAAACAAGAGGGGAAAACACTTCCTACTTCCTGTTTGGTATTAATAGCTCTTCTCATCCTCAGGAGTTACAAGCGCTACAGAGAGAAAAAGACCATGTTTACATTGAAAAAATGGATGTCTCTGCTCGCTTGCTTGAGCAGGAAAAAACACGAGAAGGTAGGTTTTTTGTTTTTGTTTCTCTCTCTGGTTTTAATCTTTTTTTGTATCTCTGCCCTCTTCTCTCCTGGTTGTCTGAGCAGAGTGTGTGCATCAGGCCGTGCTGCAGGCCAGCTCAGCTCTTCGCTCAGAGCTGGAGGAGGAGAAGATGAAGTATCAGGGTCTGCTGAAGGACTTCACCAGACTGGAGCAGAGATACGACAACCTGAGAGAGATGAGTCTGATCACTGAGGTCTGCAGCTGCTCTTTGACACCGTTTGGTCGTAAAACTTCGGCTCATTCACGTCACGTCTYTCCCTGCTTTACAAGCAGCATAGAAGAGGCCACCGAAGGACCGACTCCACTCAGAGTTTGAGCTTCGAGCCTCTTTCTCCTTCCTCCACTCCGCTGTCACCCCAGTCCCTCACYCCCCTCTCCCTGTCACCCTTCCCCTCTGCGTTTCCGTCCCCGGAGGAGGTACGGAGGATCAGCGTGACGTCGCCCAGTGACGAGAGGAGAGCCCCGGTGTGGGGCTCAGAAACACACATGGTGAGTAGCTCAGAGGAACAACACGTGAACTGAACATTTCATGAAGCTAGACCAGGGATGGGCGTGGCAGTTCACGGGCCACTTCTGGTCCACGAGTGACTTGCATCTGGACCGAAAAAAAACATGATTTTTTTTAACTTTAAAAAATCTGAGAAAAATCTTAAAATCTAAGAGCTACTCTGTTATTTAAGTTAAAAATATATATAATAGGGGAGACCGGGGACAGTAGCAACATGTCATTTTTCTCCAAACAGAAACAAGTTAGAGTGATGATACTCACACTGTTCATGCTCTGTTAGATGCCCCACCTTGCAAAGAAAAAGTAATGCTGGAAACATACTCCCTCCGAACTGCCGACGTCGGCACAGGTTGTCGCAGTTTAATGACGAAAATTACATCACCGGGCTTCACAGCGTCGGTTCGACAGCCCCTTTTGGCACAAGCTGCCGGCAGAACTTTTGACGCCCTCTCCCGTGTCGACGGCAATGTGTGATTGGTCTGAAGTTCGTGGGCGTGTTTGTTTGTGCTGAAGCGCTCGGACACTCAAAATAAAAAAAAAATTGCTTCTGACTAGAGCAGACTGTTGAAGCAGAGTTTTATAAAGATAGTCAAACCGAGAAAAACTCATGCGTGTTTGTGCTGAAAGCGCTATGCGCTGCATTTTCTTCAGATACTCGGTAAAAAAAAGGGTGGGACGACTCACTCCCAGAGCCGACTGTTACCAGGAAGCAGAGTTTTATAAAGATAGTCAAACCATGAAAAACTCATGAATGGAGATTAAACAGACGTTGTGCACGGAGGAATCTGACTGATAAAAACTGTGGAGCTAAACCAGGACAGATGTGGATAAATACGTCGGGTGAGTGACCTGTTTGACTTTTTTTTCTGCATTGTCGGCTGTTGCGGGGGAACTCCATGCAGTGACGTATGCTGTAGCGGGAGGGGGTGGGGGGTTCCCGAGCTCGGCGCGGGGTGTCTCAGGGACTATGTAAGGTCTGTGCGAAAATGACTGCCTAACAACCACGTGACCATGAATCGACTCATCGGCGTCGGAGCGAGTATGTTTCCAGCATAAGCAGATTCAAAGGATTTATTTGAAAAAAAAAAAACTGTTTTTGAGGTACCAAAGTATTTTTTGCCCAGCTTTATTTTTGTTACACTGTTGTCAATRTTTTTGTGATCCAGCTCAAACTTATTTGGTTTAAACAAGTGATATGTTGACTTTTAACTAATATAGTTAACATGTATCCAGATCATCTTATTTAACTAACACAAGAGGTTTTATCATGGCTGACAGGAAGGGGGACAGTTGCAACAGTTGTTGCAACTGTCCCCCTTCCTGTCAGCCATATGATAAATCCATTTAAAAACAGAGCATAAAGATGATATTAAAATGTTGAAATTAAGTTTACACTTAAAAGGGTATTGGGTATTCATGACAATTTTATAGTTTAAAACATAAAAGTGTTTAAGATGTATTTTCTGCAGTTGTTTTCAACAATCCCAGTTTCTTTCAATGAAAATTTTGCATAATGTAGGCGTACAGTGACTAAAGGCAAAACAAAAGTTGACTGCCTCACAAATTGTTCTATTATCCTTGTCTCAAAAAGTCAACTGTATTATTTGATAAATAAATAACAC